GGGACAGTAGGTCAGAGAGGTAGGAGGGAGCAAGGCCGTGAATGGCCTTATAGGTGAGGATGAGGATCTTGAAATCAATCCTCTGGGGGATGGGGAGCCAGTGGAGGCGAGCGAGGGTGGGTGTGATGAGGTCCCGAAGCCTGGTGCGGACAGTACACGAGCTGCAGAGTTCTGAATGACCTGCAGTGTGGAGGGAGGTGGCGGGAAGGCCGGCGAGGAGAGAGTTCCCATAGTCCAGCCTTGAGGTGACAAAGGCGTGGACCAGGGTGACATCGGTAGAGTTGGACAAGTTGACTTGAGAAGGGAATTCAAAGAGCTGGGGTCCAAATTGAAGTCAATATCATCGAAGGATTACTCCTTGTACCATACGACAATTGGTACAGGAACAATCAAATTAAGGACTTGAACGCGCGGCTAAAAGACTGGTGCAGAACTCAGGGGTTTCTTTTTATGGGCCATTGGCATGAGTATTGGGGGAAAAGAGAGCTCTTTCAGAGAAATGGGCTGCATTCAAATCGGGCTGGGATAAATGTCCTAGCTGTACAAATTAATAGGCAGATAAATAGGAATTTAAACTAGTAAAGTGGGGGGAGGTGGATATAAAGGTAAGAGAAATCATAAGTTAGCATTAGAAAAAGTAAAGATGACAGCGCAGAATAGCATGCCAGATAATAGGAATATGTTAACTAGGGGTAGGAAGATTGGCAAAGCAAATAAGGAATCAGAGAGTAGAGGAAATAGTAGGAAATTAAAAATTTATATCTGAATGCGCGAAGCATTCGGAATAAAACTGATGAATTAAAAGCACAGATAGATACATATGGATACGATCTAGTAGCCATCACTGAAACATGGTTACAAGGAGATCTAGGGTGGGAGTCAAATATTCCAGGGTTCTCAGTTTACAGGAAAGATAGGCACTGTGGGAAACAAGGTGGGGGTGTAGCCCTGTTAATTAGGGATGAAATTAAAGCAGTGGAGATGAAGGATCTGAAATCCGATGACCAGGAGGTCGAGACAATATGAGTGGAAATACAAAATAAAGGGGCAGAAAATATTAATGAGAGTGGTTTTTGACCCCCAAACAGTGATCCCAAAATAGCACAAGGTATTAATCAAGAAATCAGTGAAGCATGTGGGAAAGGTAAAGCGATAATAGTGGGTGATTTCAATCTCCACGTAGATTGGGAAAACCAAATCGGCAAAAGTAGGTTTAGAAGAGTTCACTGAGTGTATGAGAGATAACTTTCTAGAGCAGCATGCTGAGGAACCAACTGGGGGACAGACCATCCTCGATCTTGTTCTGTGTAACAAAACAGGGTTAGTCGGCAGTGTAGGTATTAAGACTCCTCTAGGGCAGAGTGATCACAATATGATTGATTTCTGCATTAACTTAAAGAGGGATATAGTTAAATCCAAGGCAAGTATTCTGAATTTAAATAAGGCTAATTTTGTAGGTATGAGGAAAGATTTTGGTAAAATAGACTGGAGAATAAGATTAAGATGTAAAAATGTAGACCAACAGTGGCAAATATTTAAGAATGTAGTGCATAATTTTCAGAGGTCGCATATTCCCTTGTGGAATAAGAGTACCACAGGGAAAGCAAGTCATCCGTGGCTAACTAGCGCAGTTAGGGAAAGCATCAAATTAAAAGAAAAAGCTTGTAGAATTGCCAAGAAAAGTAGCAAATCTGAAGATTGGGAGAGTTTTAGAAACCAGCAAAAAAAACCTTAAAAACTCATTAAGAGCGAGAAAAAGGAGCATGAGGTTAAGCTAGCTAGGAACATTAAGTCTGATTGTAAAAATTTTTGCAAATACATTAAGAGGAATAGGCTAGTGAGGGTAACTAGGTCCACTTCAGTCAGAGACGGGAGAAGTTGTAATGGGGTATAAGGACATGGCAGAGTCCCTAAGTGGGTTCTTTGCACCTGTCTTCACCCAAGCAGACACAACAAGTCTGCCAACAATAGAGATGCACCAAGGGTTAAGGACAGGGAGCAACTTAGGGAAATTTTCATTAGTAAGGAATTGGTGCTGGGAAACTGTTAGCACTAAAAAAGTGACAAATCCCCTGGTCCGGATGGCTTGCATCCCAGGGTTTTAAAAGAGGAGCTTATGAGATAGTGGAGGCCTTGTGTCTGATCTTCCAAAATTCCTTGGATTCTGGAATAGTCCCCATGGATTGGAAGATCGCAAATGTCACACCACTATTTAAAAAAGTTGGAAAGGAAAAGATGGGGAACTATAGGCCAGTTAGTCTCACATCAGCAATAGGAAAATATTTTTGAATCATTGATTAAGGATGTGGTAATGCGGCATTTAGGGCACAATATAATTAGGCCAAGTCAACATGGCTTTACAAAAGGGAAGTCATGTTTGACAAATCTCATAGAATTTTTTGAGGATATTTCAAGTAAACTAGATAAGGGTGAATCAGTGGATGTAGTCTATTTGAACTTCAAGAAGGCATTCGATAAGGTGCCACATAAAAGATTAGTCGAAAAGATAGGGGCCCATAGAATTGGGAGGAGCATATTAACGTGGATTGGGGAATGGTTAACGGGTAGGAAACAAAGAGTAGGGATAAACGGGTCCTTTTCAGATTGGCGGGATGTGACTAGTGGGGTGCCACAAGGATCAGTCCTTAGGCCTCAGCTATTTACCATCTACATCAACGATCTATATATATCTAAATTCGTGGATGACACAAAACTAGGAGGAAGTGTCAACACAGAGGATGACATTAAAAAAATGCAGCGCGACATAGATTGGGTGATTGGGCAGGTAGGTGGCAGATGAAGTATAATGCAGGGAAGTGCAAAGTCATCCACCTCGGGAGCAAAAACAGTAGAGCGGGTTATTTTTTAGAAGGGGAGAGATTGGAATGTGTTAGCATCCAGAAGGACTTGGATGTCCTTGTACACTAATCACAGAAAGTTAGTCTGCAGGTGCAGCTGCGATTAGGAAGGCGAATGGTATTCATTATGAAAGGATTAGAGTATAAGAGTAGGGAAGTCTTGCTGCCACTGTATAGGGCCCTGGTGAGACCGCATCTGGAATACTGTGTGCAGTTTTGGTCTCCTTATTTAAGGAAGGATGTACTTGCCTTGGAGGGGGTACAGCGTAGATTTACTGGGTTAGTGCCAGTGATGAAGGGGATGAGTTACGAGGATAGGTTGACCAATTTGGGCCTATATTCTCTAGATTATAGAAGAATTAGAGGGGATCTTATAGAAACGTATAAGATCATCAAAGGGCAGATAGAGTAGATAGTGGGAGATTGTTTCCCCCGGTTGGAGAAACTAAAACCAGGGGTCACAACCTTAAAATCAGAGGCCAACCCTTTCGCACTGAGTTGAGGAAGAACTTCTTCACTCAAAACGTGGTGAATGTATGGAACCCGCTACCCCAAATGGCTATTGACGCTCAGTCCTTGAAAATATTCAAGACTGAGACAGATAGATTTCTTATTGCAAAAGGGATTAAGGAATATGGGGATAAGGCAGCGTCAGGTTATTAGCTGAAGTTAGATTAGAAGATCAGCCATGATTGAATGATGGGGCAGAGGCTCGAAGGGCCGAATGGCCTACTCCTGCTCCTACATGTTATGTTATGATTTCCACAAAGTGCCTCACAAAACACTTGTGATAAACTGGAAGTCGTGGCAATACATAGACAAATTTTGGATTTAATTCAGTTTATTCTATTTCCAAGATCTATCTTAGGGTTGACGGTGGACTCACTGAGTATATCTCCCTCGGAAGGGATAAGTCAAGGCTACCCATTCTATTTAGTGTGTATCGCAGCTTGTACACGAAACAAATTCACTCACCAAGGTGTTCACATTGTGTGAACAGCTGTTTTTGACTACAAAGGCTAACCATTATTTAGTGTACTTCATCAATATCGTATTGGATGGCAACAAGAGGGATTTACTTGGTTGTATCTGTGCCAGGTATTTCTGACACAATTGCAGCACTTCTGTTTACAGAAGATATTGTGCTGTTGGTGAATTCACCTGGGGATCTTGTGCACTGCACTCACTATCTGAACATGAGAAAAACTGAAGGAACTGGGCCTATTCTCATTGGAACAGAAGACGTTTGAGTGGAGACTTGATTGAGATCTTTAAAACCATGAGGGTTTTTTATAGGAAAAAGCTTTTTCATGGATCAGTGAGTTAGTTAAAGATGATAAGAAAGGGAAAAGGGGTAGAGGAGGAGAATTGTTTGTTCATAGAAATTTGTTCATTTGTGGAATGTGGTGCCAGATGTTGTGGTCAGGATTCATATTAGCTCTCAAGAGGGAACTTGATAGATTTCTAAATTTTGCAAAGGTTGGGGGAAAGACAAGGTTGGGACTAAATGGATAACTCTTTCAAAGAAACAGCTCAGACATAATAGGTGGAATGGCCAGCTGTGCTGTAATTTTTTGTTGTGTATTCTCTTGTGATAAGAAGATATGGGAAGAAGATGATATCATTCCCTTAAAATAATAAAAGGTAAATAGAGAGAAATTTCTCCCTCTGGTAGAGGTATCCTGAAAAAAATATGCTTTTAAAATTAGAGTAAAACATATTGAGAGCAAATACAGAGAACAATTTTCACAAGTGTTGTGGAAATGTGAAATTCATAACTCCAGGATGAGTCAATGCCCTTTATCCCTTATGCATTGACCTAACAAAAATATCTACCTCCATCTTGAAGATGTGTGAATGGATCCAGAATGCACAGCCGTTTGGGGGAGAGAAAATTCCAGATTTCCACTACCCTTTGGGTGAAAAACTGCCTGCTAATTTCACTCTTAAATAACCTAGTTCTAATTTTAAGATGGTGACCTTTTGTTCTGGATTCCCCAACCAGAGGAAATAGTTTATCTGTATCAATCCTGTCAATTCCTTTATTATTTTGAAAATAGTTATTTGACAGGCTGAGTGATCTAATTCTGATCTTATCTTCTTATGAGTAGTTCTGTAAATAAACAGCAGATAAGACGAGACTTTTGTGATGCGTTGAATCTTTATTAATAGTTCAGCTACGTTGCAGTTAGAAATAGAGTGTTCCTTGCACAGATTGTGCCAATCGATTTAGTGTTTATGGCAACATTGCAGACAACACTCCCCTAAAACTGGAGCAATTAGGCTCCAAATTGCAATAAAGATATCTTCCAATTCCAATGGGTTTGGGATGCTTAAATCCATCAGATAAGATCACGGTGGATATTGTTGTTTTTCTCTCATCATGAAATTATGTTGCTCTTTTCAAGTTCATCTTAACGACAAGTAATGTTGTTATCCTGTGCTCCTCCCACCTTCCACTTCCAGAATCAGTGGAGCCAGTTTCCTGGCTAGTATCGAAGTGGCCTGCAAGAGTGTTACTGATTTTGAAGGGAGGGAATTTAATTTTATAATTGTGTGAATTCGTAGACCACGTCACTCTTAAAGACAGTCTTATCTCAATCGGTCTAATTGATCCCCCAAAAAATTAATCAACCAGTCTAGAGTGCTGAGTTTCACAGCTCCCAGCATTGCCTGTCTTCCAGTTTTAATTGGACAAGAAAGTCTATGGTTGAGATGGTGGATGGATTTGGGATGTTAATTGACTCTTTGCATCAATAATCAGCAGTGCCAATATGGATCAATTACTTTGGATTGGAAGGCTGGAATCGGTTGTAAATACAGAAGCTTTGATTCTTTCTGAAGTTGAAGTGAATTCCCAAAGACCCCGGAAGCATTAACTATGATTATGGTCATCAAAGTCAGACCACGGCAATCTGCAAGAGTCTTCGCTGGAAAGGCAGCGTGTGCTGGGGCTCGTTCCCTGAAAGACAAAATTTATAGGCATTAGAGAAACTCCAGGATGTTTGGTCCTGAGCTAATCCCATTTCACTACTCTTTTGACATGATGTCTGTGCTTGTGTTACCTCTATCCCATTTCCTGTTCTTTCCGTGTAACTTTTATTGTTCTTAATTTTATAACAGAAAACCACACAAGCACTTAATCTACCCTGCCCCAGCTCCTCTGACCTCAGACAGACTAGATTTCCAATTGGATATTTTTTGTAGGAATGTTTTGTAGTATGCCAGTTGGAAACTCAATGAATGCCTTTAAGAGAATTAAAGATCATATTTATTTAAGGCTGTGTCACATAGCTGGCATGTACTCTTCAGAATGAAAAAAGTTGTTTTAGTCGATATCGTAAATGTTTCTTACCTCAATAAAATCTGAAACCTGTGAAGAGAACACATTAATATAAATATTAAATACACTGAATAAAAATCACTCTGAATTTCAGAGCAGTAGTAAAACTTGTGTCAGGCCTTAACCATTGGTGGTTGAGCTTCCGATCACTATTCCCTATAACTTCTTAAATTCCATTGCTTGGTATCTGACCCAGCAACTGTGAAATGTTCTAAGATGTAATCCTATGTGAAGGGTGCTATATAAATGCAAGTTGCCTGATAGTGGTTTGTTTGAACTGTGATAGTTGACTGGAAACTGGAACATTCATCAACAACCATAACTTGCATTGGTATTGTGCCCCTCACACACCATAACATGATTAATTGGAATAGCTGAACACTTAGAAGCTCAGTGAGTAATTTGGTGGGAATCAATAATTACATTTGTTCAAAGGTGTGCCAAAGACCTGGAAGGTACTATTTACAGAATGAAAACAGATTTAAGACAAGAAATAATGTATATTTTGATTCTTAACTGATACCTGCAATATGAATACATTTGTTGTGTGTCTTTAGCTGATTAAACATCAACAGTTATCCTCATTGCATACTCTTAATTTCTCCAGGTCTTGTCTCTTACCAACATGTGGAGCTACTACATGATTACCTAAACATTGTGTATTCGTCTGGATAGATGTTCGATACCAGGTAATGCATACCATAATAATATTTTACTCTCCGTTTTGTTTTAGATTCTTGTTTATAAGGTTCTGTCTGTGTCAGATACCACGCAGACCACCAAAAAAATTCTAACATATCAGAAAATGGTTTGGTACAATTTAATTGTTTGGAAATGGAAACATGCATGAGAATACTGCTGTGAGCTAGATGCTTATTGTAGTATGATCTGCAATCTGTAGCTGACACCTGCAAATGATTACCAAATCCACAATGTGTGGATTGTTGTACAATTGTTGCGGAAGACTGGTGTGTTGGAGGTGCAGAGCAGTTGGTGCTGGAGAGGTTAAAGTTTGTAGTATTTCTTTGTAAAATTTATATAGGAATGCTTTGTTAATTGTGGGTCAGTCAGAAGCACAGTGAATGAATTAGAGGGAATTGAAGATCATTTATTTATTTTCCTGGCACAGAACTCCAGAATATACTCATTGTAGAATAGAAAATGGACATTTAAGGCAAGAAATAAAATGAATTCTTATATCTACAGGACTCTTGCCAAGAGATCACATTTTTTTAAAAATTAACTGCACTGAATAAATATCCATACAGTATAATAAAATTTACATTTATATAGCGCCTTTCACATTGGAAGGACGTCTCAAAGCGTTTCACATTGCTAGATGGTCACCCAAGCTAGCAGGGAGGTGGGGGGGGTGTGTGCTGAAGAAAGTTAAAGGGAAAATGTCTGAAAGCACAATCAACCTAAATGGTACAATTTGTGGAATGAAAATAGATTTAAAGGACAGAGCTTGGAATTAATAATAATCATTATCATCCTTGCATTTGATATAGCATAGCCAATTGCGCACAAATGTCCCACAAGCAGTCATGGATTGAGTGACCAAATTGTAGAGGGCAGTAATTAGAATAATTATGGTAATTACTAAAATAGGAAAGAGAAAGGTTGGGTGAATTTAGTTACAGTTTTTGCACATAGAATGATTATTGAGACACCATGCATTTGGTTTTAAGAGGGAATTAAAATATCTGAAAAACAAAAAGGTGAAGGGAGTGGGGGAGCGGGAGTAGCAGATGGAAGAAGAAAAGTAGCTCTTTGGAGTGATAGCAAATACATGATGGGCCAAATGGCCTCCTTCTGTCCTGTAAGCATTGTAACATTATTTCTACACTGAATGGAAAGTGTTCAAGGATCACTAGTGTGCGATTCAAAGGAGCTGGTGTTAGTAGGTTAAGCGCACTGAGACGCTGTCCGTCATGAAGGGCGCTATATAAATATAAGTTGTTAGTGGATTAAATAAAAGTGATGATCACGTTTTTGGGCACAGTGGAGCCAGCAGGAAGGCGCGGTTGAAGAGGAAGTCTTGAGACGGGTCTTGAAGGAGGCAAGGGGAGGCCGAGGCGGAAGGACTGCGGGATGGAGTTCCAGAGGGTGGTGTCAGAGTGGCTGAAGATTTGCCAATGGTGGGGCGGGCGAGGCGGAGGAACGTGAAGCAGGCCGGAGCTAGCTGAGCAGGGGGAGCAGGCAGGTTGGTAGGGGGCTAGGAAATTACAGAGGTAGTGGGGAGCAAGACCATGGAGGGCTTTGAAGATAAGGACCAGGTTCTTGAACTGTTTCTTCTGGGTGGGGATGATAGGATTTTTAAAAACTAAAGGGATTAAGGGACATGGGGATAGGGCGAGCAGATGGAATTAGGTTAGTAGATCAGCCATGATCTTATTAAATAGCGGGGCAGGCTCGAGGGGCCGAATGACCTACTCCTGCTCCTATTTCCTATGTTCTTGTAGTGGCAGATCCTTGTGCTGTAGAGGACATGGCTAGAATTCTGGATGATCTGGCTGGAGCAGACAGTCGTTGGGGCTAGTATTCTTCACTCTCGATGTCTGATCACCCCAGAAGTCAATGCTTTAATGAGCAGAAAGCTTGGCTTTGCTCTGCAATGTTAGGCTATATGACATTAGCTATGTATAACATGTGTGGCTATTCCATGATTCGGTAGACAGTGTGTGTTTTCATTAAAAAAATTGTATACTGTTTGTAAAATAAAAAGGAAGCAAGAAAAAGGTAAGAAATATTGTGAATTCTGATTCTTACCTCCCCATCCACCTGTGAAAAGAACTAAAACTTTAGGGTATTGCTGAAACTATTCTACAACTTTCCACAATCTGAATTTAAAGCTGAAGATGATGATTGGTGTGTGCCATTTAGTCTTTGGCCAATCAGTTATTTGCGAGTGAAAGGGAGCAATCTGACTGGAGATCACAAAGGTGATATCATGAGTGAAAATCATATCACAGGTTTCCAATGCTTTGGAGCCAACGACAACAACAACTTGGATTTATATAGCGCCCTCCACGCCGGACGGCGTCTCAGAGCACTTTACAGTAATGGATCCAGGCCCGAGCCAGGGGGATGGGGAGGAAGATGAACAAAGGCGCGGTCGAAGAGAAAGTCTTCAGCAGAGACCTGAAAATAGGAAGAGAGGGGGCGAGGCGAAGGGAGTGAGAAAGGGAGTTCCAGAGCCTCGGGGCGCAGTGGCTGAAGGCACGGCCGCCGAGGGTGGAGCAGAGGACTCGGGGGACAAGGAGGAGGCCAGACCCGGGGGAACAAAGGCAATGGGCACTGTTGTGAGGAGAGAGGTCGGGGGGTGCAGAGGAGTGGAGGGATTTGAAGACAAGGTGAGGATCTTGAAGTGGATCCTCTCTGGGACAGGCAGTCAGTGCAGTCGGGCAAAGACTGGAGTGATCGGGGAGCGGAGTTTGGTGCGGGTAAGAATGAGTTTTGGATGACTTGGATGTTATGGATGGTCGTGGAGGGGAGTCTGGCGAGGAGGGCCTTTGAATAGTCCATCAGAAAGGTGACAAAGTCATGAACCGGGGTTTCAGGGGCTTTTAGAGTAAGGTATTGGCAGAGACGGGCGATGCGTCGGAGGTGGAAGAAGGTGGTGCTGGTGAGGGCCTGGATATGGGGGAGGAAGGATAATTGGGTTGCATACGGGTTCGGAGAGTTTTAGGGGGAGGTCGGGTAGGTGGAGGAGGTGAGAATCGTGTGGTTTTAGATGTTGACGAGAGTCAAAGAGAATGGCTTCCGCCTTGTCAACATTCAGCTGAAGGAAATTTGCACTCATCGAACTCCTGAAGTCTGATAGGCAGAACATCAGGGGACTGGGGGGTCGCAAAGTCAGGTGGAAAAATAGAGTTGGGATCGTTGACGTACATGTGGAAGTGTACTCCATGTCTGTGGATAACATCCCCAAAAGGAAGCATGTAGATCAGAAAGAGGAGGAGGCCAAGGATAGATTGCAGGTAACCGGGTGAGAGCGGGAGGGGAAGCCGTTTGCGCAGATGTACTGCTAGTGGTTCATGAGGTAGGACTCGAACCCGACTGTGTCGAACGCGGCGGAGAGCTCCAGGAGGACAAGGATGCAGAGGGAGCCCTGGTAACAGATAGAGAGGATGACATTTGTGACTTTCACAAATGCAGTCTCTGCACTGTGGGCAGTGGAATGTAGGGGATCAAAGAGGGAGTGGGAGGAGAGGTGTGTGCGGAGTTGATTTGCAACAATGCGTTCTGGGACTTTTGAGAGGAAGGGCAGGTTAGAAATAAGGCAGTAATGGCTGGGGTTTCAGGGATCTAGGGAAGGTTTTTTGAGAAGTGGGGTGATGACAGCAGTTTTGAAGGGGGTCAGGGACTGATCCAGAGGAGAGGGGCTGGTTGATGACATCAGCCAATAGTGGGTAGAAGAGGGGGAGCTGGGTGACCAGCAAGTTGGTGGGGAGGGGGTCGAGGCAGCAGTTGGTGGATTTCATTAAGGTGATGGTGAGTGAGAGGGAGGAGGGAGAGATGGGGAGGAAAAAATGTAGGATGGGGGGAGGGGGGGAATCTTAAAAGATCATGTTCTTTTAAGATCCTGTCAGGGAGTAAGAATTAACTAGGGTTAGGATAAGTTCGGATTCTTACCTCCAAAATTAAACCAGCCACCTGTGGTGAGAGCAGATTAGATATATATTAAGATCACTAAATAAATATCACTCCACATTTTACAATAGTAGTAAATTATTGTGAAGGGAACATTTTTGAAAGTGCTTTAATTCTAATAAATATTTGAATATAAATATATTCTTTTGTATTGTATAAATTAGTTCGTCAGGGACATTTAATATTTACAATCTGTATATGCTGTAACAAGATTCCCACACCCTAATTATGAAGTTGTTGATCATCAGTGAGATATTTAAAGCTAATGGTTCAAGATACAGACCATTAGTTCTCAATCAATCCAAACACACATCTCTTAACCAATGCAGCATCAGGTGGTTAAGAGATGTGTGGTTTTCCCTTACAGACTTTATGTAGGAATGTTTTATAAATTATGGATATGTCAGAATTTCAGTGAGTGAATTAGTTATTTAAAGATTGCATTTCTTCAAGGTCCTAGAAATCAGCCAAAGTGTATTCTTTGCAGAGTGAATAATGTATTATAATAATAATAATAATCCTTGTATTTGATATAGCGGTTTTCACGTCTTTTCGACGTCTCAAAGCGCTTCACAGAATAGACTGTAAAGTGAATTGACTGTATATTTGTGGGCGAAATGCAGCGGCCAATTGCGCACAGCAGTGTTCCACAAACAGTCATGGATTGAAAATGACCAATTTATTATTGCTTTGTTTTGGAGGGATTATTATTAGGCGTGTGGAGTAGGGAAACTTGCCCCAGGTTTCGCTCTGCCTGGAATTGAACCCAGTGTCTCGCTTGCAAAGCGAGTGCTCTAACCACTGAGCTACAGGACTCTATTATTATCAATTCTGATGCTTACCTACAGGAGGGTACCAACCAACTGAAGAGAACAGAGTAGTATACATATTAATCGGACAGAACCAATATAATTCTAGATTTCACAAGAATAGTACTAACTCATAAGAGTTTGTGAACTGTGGTAACTGGATAGCTTGGAAATAGGAAACATTCTGTAGAATAGCTGCTGTGAGCTGGACCCTCACATTTTACGCTTTATTCAAGTATTCGGAATTAGTTATTCTCTGGTGAGACTGGTAGCTTCTCTCTGAGCTCTGAGATTTATCACAGAAAATCTTTGGATAAAGTAAGTGGTAAATAATGTTATGTATTTGGAGTAAATTGTATGTTGCAATCTGTAGCTAAAGTGAAGCGAAAATTCAAATCAAAAGTAGTCTTAATCTAGCAAATAAAAATAGTCAATTTTTTAAAGGGTCATTTTGCTCCTAAAATACTGCATGCAGTTCTAGTTGTCAAGACTTGAGGCCTCGGAAGAAACCCATGTTAAAAAGCTTGCATTATGAACCGTGTTAATTAAGTAATTTGTAAACGGAATCATTTATATAAGGATAGCTACTGTAAAGAGCTGGAAATTTACTGTAAGGTCCCATTAAGTTTTGTGGATGTTCAATATTTCTATAAAATATTCATTGGGTGCATTCTTCAACTTTGGGGCAAAAGCAGGAGATAGGACAAAGCAGATGAATCTTTCATAGGAGCTAGCCAAATGGTTTCTTTCTGTTCTGTAAACATTAGATTCTCACAGTCTGAATGTAAAGCTGAAAGGGTTCACAAGAGTTACCATGGAGCTGGTGCTGTATAGGTTAAGAGATTGTGTTATTTCCCTTAAGAACAGAGAAAAGAACATAAGAATTGCTAGATGAAGGAAAACCAAGAACCATCCAGTTCGCCTTCCACCATCCTCGCAGTCGCATGTACATGTCATGTCCCAAGCTATATACTGTCTGTGCCAAGATATTATTTCCTGAACAAAATCTAATTTGCTTTCGAAAGAATCTACACTTTCTGCTCCCACCATTTCTCTAGTAGCCTGTTCAGTACATTTACTGCTTGCTCACTGAAATAGTTTTTATGCAGATTTGTTTTGAATTTACCTCCCTTCAATCGCAGGCCATATCCTGGTTCTAGTTCTTCTGTTCTGAACAAAATAGAAGAGCTTATAATGGTCTACATTATCCAGTTCCTTTAGAATCTTAAAAACTGCAATTATATCGCCTCTCAACTTTCTCTTTTCTAGCTGTCCAGTTTACTTAATCGTTTCTCATAGTCTAGTCCCTTCGTCTTCTCAATCATTCTGGTTGCCCTTTTCTGTATTCTCTCAGTCACTGCAATATCCTTTTTGTACTGTGGTGACAAGAACTGCACAAAATATTTCAAGTAATGTCGTACCAATGCTTTATAACTTATAAATTGTGTAGATTAAGGGTCATTTAAAAGGATTTATAGATCACATTACTCTCGGATCCTGTAATGAGTGATTTAGAATCATTTATAAATGACATTGCTCTCGGGTCTTTTCAGAGTTCCAAGTCTACTCTTTGTAGAATACAAAAATGGATGTTTACGGCAAGGAATGTTGTGAATTCCGATTCTTACCTCCATGCCAGCCACCTGTGAAGAGAGCGGATCAACTAGATATTAAGTGTACTAAATAATTATTACTCAACATTTCACACAAATAGTAATAAATGATGTGCAAAAGTTTCCAGAGGGAACTGTCTCAATTAAGTAGTTAGCAAATGGAAACATTAATTAGAATAACTATTGTGATCTGGAAACTTATTGTAAATTCAAATGCAATATTCTATTGTTCTATCAAATATTCGTTGTATGTATTGAGTCCTAATTAATTTTGTTGTTTCTTTCTATGGATAGAGGGCTTAAGGGATATGGGGATAAGGCGGGCATGGAGTTAGGTTAGAAGATCAGCCATGATGTTATTGAATGGCAGGGCAGGCTCAAGGGGCCGAATGGCCTAATCCTGCTCTTGATTCCTATGTTCCTATTTTCAAGGGCTTAGGAAAAGGTCTGTTCTTTGATTAACAGGAAATAACATCGATCTCAGGGATCAGTGATTGGACCCAGCTATTCACTCTAAAATATCATTGACCCGGCTAGAGGGAAAGAGTTTTTTTTTCTAAATTAGTGAACAACTGTAAGTTGGGAGGCATTTTAAATTTTGAAGAAAAACAATAGAATGTGTCAGATTTAGTGAATAAGCAAAACTATTGAAGATAAAGTTTATCAAAGTACATTTTATGGCATTTGTAGTTATTTTGTAAATGGGGAAGTAGGAGGGGTAGAGGAGCAGGGAGGAGTTCAAGTTCATAGATCGTTAATATCTAGATCACAATTTCAGAAAGGCAGACAATTAATCAACCATTCACCATTGAGTACATCCTTGGGATGGAAAATTTACTTTGGGATGACAAAGATCATTTGTTTGGATCTGTTTTAAACGATTCAAACAGCATAAGCTATTTTGTAACTTGCAGCCAAATCCCATGAAAGTCAGCGGTAGATTTATGTATTTTTCCATGTGTAGGAATACCTAATAGATTGTAGGTCAGTCAGAAGGTTGATCAGGAAATCAGAGAAGTAAAGATCATATTTCTTTAATTTCTTCTCACGAGCTGCAATGGACTCTTTGCTGAATCAAAATCAAAGATTCAACACAATATATTTAAATAAATGTGAATTTGGATTCTTACCGTAGCCGTTGAAGGCAACATATTTGAATTCATGTTAACTGCACTGAATAAATATTAGTCTAGATTACACGACGATAACAATATTGTGACTGTCTTCCTTTGAGACACTAAACTTCTTTAAGGCAAGAAATAAACTGCCTCCAAGATGACACCTCTGGTAATTGAAGATGGGAATTGAGTTCATCATTGAGTTCATCAACTGGTCTTGGTAGTCAGTTTTGAACAGTCTTGTCCACAGTACTCTAAGACCGTTTGAGATCAAACTTGGAGGAGCAGACAAGTCACGTAAAGGGCTGGGATTCTTTCCACTCAGCTGCTGTTAACCTTGCAATTTACTACCCTAATATGTAGGATGGATTTCGATGTACAAATATCAAAAAGCTTGCTGACCCTATATTGTTAGCTTATGTAGTAATAAAATAATAATTCTTCCGTTTTATATAGCACCTGATCACGTCTTTGAGATGTCTCAAAGCACTTCACAAAATATACTGTAAAGTGAATTGACTGTATATTTTGTGGGCAAAAGAGTGCCAGAATGCAGTCTGCAGAATGAACAGTGCATTACTGTCAATTCTGATTTTTACCTATAGGAGTATACCATTCAACTGTGAAAATAATAGATTAGTATAAATATTAATGGTACTGACCCAATAACACTTCAGATTTCACAACAATAGTAATAACTTCTTACCTACAGGACCGTACCAAACTGTGAAGTGAACAGATTAGAAATATTAACTGCACTGACCCAACATCACTCCAGATTTCACAGCATCAGTACTAATTCATATCAGAATTGCAGTAAATGAAGAATTTGGAAAATTGAAACATTCCTGAGAATAGCTGCTGTGAGCTGGATGGACGTTCATACAACCCTCACATTGAGTATTCTGGTTATTCTCTGATAAGGGAAAGAGCTGCTGCCTGAACTCTGAGGATTAACACAGAAAATATCTAAGTAGTTATACATTAAATAATGCTAAATATATTGGATTAACGGTATATTCCAGTTGATGCCTAAAGTGAAGTGCAAATTCAAATCAAATATAGACTGTAATCAAGCAAATGAAGACAGTAATTTTTTTAAAGGATCAGGCCACACATAAAAAACTGCATACAGTTGCCAAGGTTCATTGGGGGTGGGGTGGGGCTAGAAGCAAGTCAGAAGAAATAGTAATAGATAGTTTGTATCCGATAGTTTGTTGTGTGAACAGTGTTAATTAAGCAGTTTGTAAATGGAAATATTTATGTGAGCTGGACATTTACTGAAAACCCACATTTAGTATTCTGAATGTACTATTTTCCTGTCATACTTATTGCATGTATTTTATTGAACTATTACAATACAAATTTACATTTATATAGTGCTGTTCGCATTGGGAGGACATCAAAAGTCGCTTAACAATACTACTTAGCAGTTTGCACCGTAACCCTAATATGGAACATATATTGTAGATGATGAAGCCGTCTCCAACTGGATTGGCTACTGTTCAGGATAGGTTGATTAGGTAGGTTCAATGAGTGAATTTGTGGTATTTAAAGATCACATTTCTTCAAGTACCTATCGAGGGGAACTTTCTCTTTGCAGAATGAATAATGTATTATTCTTACCTACAGGAGTGTACCATTCAACTGTGAAGAGAATAGATTAGTATAAATATTAACTGCATAGAACTAATATTACTTAAGATTTAAAAATAGTACTAATTCATGTCAGAGTTCACGTGAACTGCAATATCAGTATCATCATGGTATGATTATTCTGCAAATATTTTACTAGTTTGTAAACTGATAATTAGAGGGCATAGAATTAAGATAGTTAAAGGAGTGAAGGAAATAATTAGGAAAATTAAAATACATAGATTTTTGAAAAGCAGTTGTTAAATAAAATAAATATTGTGAATTGTGATTCTTACCTTCCTTCCATATAGCTGTGAACAGAATAGATATCTATAACTCTTAACTGCACTGAATAAATATCACTCCACGTTTCACATCAATAGTAATAACTTGTATCAGAAAGTAGTTTGTCTGAAGTGTGATAATTGAGTTTTTCCATTATGTTCAGCCATGACTATGGAACCTCTCTGCCCCATCCTTTGGAACGCCATCCCACAGTCACTTCACCTTGCTCCTTCCCTTGCCTTCTTCAAGGTCCATCTCAAGACCCTCGTCTTCGCCCGTGCCTTTGGTCACCCTCCTAACCCCACCCTCCCTGCCCTCCAACTCTCCTGATCCGATCCCACGGCTTGGATCCAAACCTTGACTGCCCAGCGCCTCAGTAAGTCCTCCCGATGTGATAGTCGCATGTTATCTGTTGTTGGAATGAGTTTCAAAATACATCAGCTTTGAAAAAGGATGACCCTTACCTTTGGCTCTGACTGAGACCAGAGATATGAGCATGGCCAGCAGGAAGAGGCTTTGAGACTTCATCCTTGCAGTCAGTTGGTCAGTCCGAAGACTTTCCATTCAATGCGGTGGCTGCTATTTATAGGAGAAAGGAACCCTGTGTGGATGCTTATCAGGTACTTTGGCTCCACAAATCGTGATTGTATGGTTAATCATTTCATCAGTCACGATGTGCTTGAGCAGCAGGACAAAACAATAAGAAATCAGAATATCATACTTCAGTTGCTCAGGTCACTTGATGCTTGTTTTGCTGGGTCTTTAGTGACTGTCAAACTATACTTACAGATGTTTACAAATACAAACTTCTCCAGGTCCCAGACAGTGTGATAGGATGCATTACCCAGGGCATTTATAAGATGAAATTCATGGTCCTAAATGTAATATAACTTAACCCTAATCCTAATGGAATATAGGTAGGAGCAGATAAAATTTAATATAGGTAAATGTGAATTGATTCAGTTTGGTAGGCAGAATAAAAAGGCCAACCATGATCCTGAATGGTCGAAACCTGAGAGGGGGAAGAGAAGCATTCAACAGACTCTAAATATTGCAGAACATGTGACAAAGATAAATACAGTTCATGGCTTTATATCTGGAAGAAGTGAGTATAAAATAGTATAAAAGTGGGGATGTCATGTTAAATTTATATAAAATCTTTCTTAAACCACATTGGGGGAATTGAGTATAGTTTTCATAGAATGTTACGGCACAGAAGGAGGCCATTTGGCCCATCGAGTCTGTGCAGCTCTTTGACAGAGCGTCACTCTCACTAGCCCCAATCACCAGCTTTCTCCCCATAACCCTGCATACCAGTCTTCCCCAGATACTTATCCAGTTCTCTCTTAAAAGCTGTTATCGAATCGGACTTCACTGCCGTTTCGGGCGGATCATTCCAAATCCGAACAACTCGCTGAGTGAAAACATTTCTTCTAACCTCCCCTCTGCTTCTTTTGGTAGATATCTTAAGACTGTGACCGCGGGTCACAGACACACCTACCAGCGGAAACAGCTTTTCCTTATCTCGCCTGTTGAAACCTTTCATGACCTTGAAGACCTCTATCAAGTCTCCACGTAACCTTCTCTGCTCTAATGGGAAAAGTCTTAACGTCTCCAGCCTGTCCTCATAGCTAAGGTTCCCCATTCCTGGTAACATTCTTGTGAATCTCCTCTGCACCCTTTCCAGTGCCTTAATGTCCTTCCTGAAGAAAGGTGCCCAGAACTGGACGCAGTACTCCAGCTGAGGCCTAACCAGTGTTTTGTATAGATTAACCATAACCTCCCTGCTCTTATACTCTATGCCCCTACTAATAAAGCTCAGTCCACCAAATGCCTTTTGTACTGCCTTCTCTACTTGCCCCACTACCTTTAATGATTCGCTTACTTGAACACCTAGATCTCTCTGTACGTTCACCCCTCTTAAGATTGAGCTCCAAGTCTATATTGCCTCCTATCATGGTCACAGTCCTCCTCACTATTTACTACCCTGCCTAACTTTGTATCATCTGCAAACTTGGAAATAGTGCTCCCCATGCCCAAGACCAGATCATTAATATATATTAGAAAGAGCAGTGGTCCCAATACCGATCCCTGGGGGACACCGCTGCACACCTCCTTCCATTTCAAGAAACACCCATTAACCACCACCCTCTGCTTTCTGTCACTCAGCCTTTACCAAATCCATGTGGGCTGTCTCTAATTACCTCATGTTCCTCTCAGTAGAGATTGATTCTGTCCCGGATTATGGTCTCCAGTAGTTTTCCTATTACTGAAGTTAGGCTGACTGGCCTGTAATTTCCGGATTTGTCTTTCTGCCCCTTTTTGTAGAGAGGGGTAATATCAGCTACTCTCCAGTCTCTTGGCACCACTCCTGTGTCCAATGAAGATTGAAATATAATGGCCAAAACCTCCGCTATTTGAACCCGTATCTCCCACAGCAACCTTGGGTAAAACCCATCTGGTCCTGGTGACTTATCAATTTTGAGCCCAGTCAATCTTTTCAGAACTTCCTCTCTGTCTATAGTGATCTGATCTATGTCCTCTACCCTCTCATCCAATACTGCGGCATTTGGAGCATCCATTTCTGTTGTGAAGACAGATGCAAAGTACTCGTTTAGTACATCAGCCTTAGTACTCTGCCTCCACAAGATGGCCATCATTGTCTTTGATTGGCCCCACCCTACCTTTAACTAACCTTTTTTCTCTTATGTGCTTGTAAAATATTTTAGGATTCCCCTTTATGTTACCCGCTAACCTCTTCTCATGGGATCTTTTTGCCTGTCTTATCACTCTTTTAAGATCATTCCTGAATTCTCTATAATGCTCTTTGCTATCCTCAGTGTCTTGCGTCTTCCAATTGTCGTACGCCGTCTTCTTCTTTTTCATCCTAGACAGAATATCCCTGGTCATCCAGGCCGGCTTGGTTGTCGCACATTTCCCTTTTCTGGGAATATATCTATTTAGACCTTGAGCTATCATATCTTTGAAGATCTCCCATTGCTCATGAGTCGTTTTACCTGCTCGTCTTACTTGCCAGTCCACCAACTCTCGGTCCCTTTTTAGATAAGCTAGGGCTCCAATCTTGAGAGAAGATGATACAGTGGGGACCTCAGAGGTGTATAAAATTTTAAATGAGATTGAAAAGGTAAACCCAGATCAACACTTTAGAATCCAGTAAAAAGGAGGACATTGGTTTTGAGTTGTACAGTGTAATTTCAGGACAGATACAAGAAGTTTATTTTTTACGTCGGCGTGACATCACAGTTTCAAAAAAAAAACAATGTCCTGGCAGCCCCTGGCACTGCCACCCCAGCCATGACCTGGGAGGCTGAGCCTGAGGGCTAATGCCATATCGCTGATCGCTCTCTCCCGGTCTCTGCATGCGTGTTTTTGCTGCTGCCCCGACCCGAGCCTCCCCCTCCACTCTTAAATGTCTCTCGTCCCACCCCCCTCTATCCGCTACTCCCCCTCTTCCTTCTTTGCCACCGCCCTCCCCGCCTTCTCTCTCTCCTCGCCACTTCCCTCTGCTCCAGCCTGGGCATCCTCCGCCGGGCCCATCGTGGCTCCCAGCACTGGCTGTCCCAGAGCAGAAACCCCATGTGTCCCATCATTTACTCCCTCCGCTCAAACCGCCTCCTTACGGCAAACCCAACTTCCCCCTCCCTCATACGTACCCTCCCCAACTCTCCACTCACACCACTCTCCACAACCATCTCTCCTGTACACCCCAAAATCCTCTCCGCTTCACTCTCTCCCTCTCCTCCCTCCCCTCCCTCCTGCAAACCCACCCGCATTTCCTTCCAAAACATCTGTTCCCTCTCAAATAAAGCCCTCACCATCCACGACCTCATCCTGGACGAGCACCTTGACATTCTTGGGCTCACCAAAACCTGGATACTTCCCCAATGACCCCGTGCCCTTAGTGGAAGCCTCCCCTCCAGGCTATACTTGCCATCACATCCCCCGTCCAAACCAACGTGGCGGCGGGGTGGCCTTCATTTCAAAAGCCTCCCTTGATCTTAGCCCCTACTCCTTTGGCTGCTTCCCCTCCTTCGAGCACCTCACCCTCTTCCACCCCTCTCTCCCATTGAAAATCCACCTTCTCTACCGCCTCCCCCTAAGCTCCCCGGCTCTTTCCACACAGACATCTCTACTCTCCCCTCTTCCCTGTCCCTCTCCTCCGAGCGCCTGCTCATAATGGACGATTTCAACTTCCATCTAAACTCCCCTTGCACCACTTCTGCCGAGTTCACTGCCCTCCTCCCGCTAAACCTCACCCTTCATATAAATTCATCCACCCACAACCGTGGTCATGCCGTTGACCGTGTTATCATCCATGGCCTCGACATTTCCAACCTCAGCATGGTAGACAAGGCCATCTCAGACCACTTCCTCATCTCCTTCTCCTCCCACATCCCTCTCCTCCACCAAGCCCTCAACCATCCTCTACCGCCCTTGGAAAAGGCTACCTACCCCCTGAGACCCTCACAAAGGCCCTCGCATCATCAAACATCCTATCCGTCCAGCCTTCCACCCGCAGAGATCCTGAAGCAGCCGTCCAACTACTCCAGGATCGCCTCTCCTCCACCTTCAACTCCCTCATCCCCCTGAAATCCAAGACCATCTCCAAACGCACCTGATCCCCCAAGTACAACAACCATCTCCGCCGCCTAAAAACCCAAACCGGGCTGCTCGAGCACAGATGGTGGATAACTGGCCTGACAGTCCACCGCCAACTGTGGCTCGAGCATCTCCACAGCTACAGCCATTTCTTGACACTTGCGAAAAAGGCCTTCTACTCCAACTGGAGGCTAAACACAAACCTAAAATCCTTTTTTCCACCACCCACTACCTCCTCCGTACCTCCCCTCAGGTCTCCTCAATCTTCATATCAAATGCCAAGTGCGAGAAGGTCATGGACTTCTTTCATCTAAAATTCACAACATCTGCCAGGCAGCCTCATCCACCTGCCTCTTGTCACCCACCACCATGCCATCTCTGTCTCCCTCACCCTCCCCATCATCTTCTCCTACCACCACCCCCATCCTACGTTCCTTCCTCCCCATCTCTCCCTCCTCCCTCTCACTCACCATCACCTTCATGAAACCCACCACCTGCTGCCTCGACCCCCTCCCCACCAACTTAATGGTCACCCAGCTCTCCCTCCTCTGCCCACTACTGGCTGACGTCATCAACCAGTCCCTCCCCTCCTGACCCCCTCAAATCTGCTATCATCACACCCCTCCTCAAAAAACTTTCCCTAGATACCTCAACCCCAGCCATTACCGCCCTATTTCTAACCTGCCCTTTCTCGCAAAAGTCCTAGAACACGTTGTTGCAAATCAACTTTGTGCACACGTCTCCTCCCACTCCCTCTTCAAACCCCTCCAGTCCGGTTTCCACCCTGTCCAAAGTACAGAGGCTGCGTTTGTGAAACATAAGAACATAAGAATTAGGAGCAGGAGTCGGCCATTCGGCCCCTTGAACCTGCCCCGCCATTTGATAAGATCATGGCTGATCTTCAGACCTAACTCTAATTA